ACCCGGGTAGTAATCATTTATTGAGTAACAATTTTCTTGAATACTACCGGGTATTATTTAAGGGGGGGTATTACTTTGGGGGGGGTATTGTATGCAGTGGTTTACGGTAATATGTATATTGGAAGGCGTAACTTTCATTTATTTTGTTTTATTAAATTTTATCTAATAAATATGTGAATATTCGGATATATTATTTATAATATGATAAATTTTTTGCAGCCTTTATCTTTACATTCTGTCAAAAATTTTACACACTAAAAAGAAAATATAAAGTAAAATATTGGAAATTAAAAACAATGGTTGCGTTGCATTTTAGTGTGTCTCAAATCTTTACCCGATACCGAGGTAAGTGTCTCAGATACTGAAGCCCCTAATAATACGACTCATATCTTTAGCCACGAAGTAACTGCCTCCGGCAATTCCTCTGATGTTGATGAGATAGGTGAGATCAAGGCACAGGTAAGCGCACCCGATAGTTCTTTATATTTTAATTCGGATCCTTTTGATGATGAAAATTCTTGTGATAGGGACACTGACCCACAGAGTGAGGATGGAAATTTCTCTGATGACAACAACGAAGATGATGATAAGGACGATGAGGGATTCTGTAGTTTTTCGAATGACGATGATAAAGATTATTATTATGATTTAAATACAGGTGAAACTTATACAAAATCGGTTATTTCGTAATATACTATATATGGGATAATTACAGTATATAATCTTTTTTCGAATATAGGAATTCTAGGTAAAATGTTGTGTCACGTGATGGTGATGTAACTCGACCGTGACTGGTCTAGAAGTTTGGCAGTTTTTTTATATGTAGTATATTGTAAAGCAATGGCGTCCATATACGTAATAAAGTAACGTGAATTACTGCGTCATATATTTATGACCAATCGCATTATCATTATTTTAACACGATAACGCGAACATGTCTACACAGTCAACATCCACTCTTAAGGCTTTTTACAATGACACCGCGATCGAAAACTGGACATGTGTAAATATGGAAGAATATTATCGTTCAAAATCAGGACAAACTAGGAGAAAAGTTCGAGATTGCATAAAAAAAGATCTTGAAGAAGTGGCAAATTTAGACGATTTTGATATGACGCAAGAGAAAAGCTCAAGATATCCTCGACGACTGGAAGGTATGTTATTAGGTTTGAATGAAATAAGCAGTATTGAGCTGAACTTAGTCCGACAGTGATGAACTGCTAGTTCGACGCTTGGCGCAAGCTGGGTCTGCTAGCCTCCAGTGACGAACTGCTAGTTCGACGCCTAGTGCAAGCTGGGACTGCTAGTCTGAAGGATAGTTTAATTATATATTGCTATTGGATATGATTGTTATCGGAAATGATTATGATCGGAAATGATTCTAGACATTAATTATATATTGCGTTTTCCGAGAATTGGACTGCACAAAAGAACCCAAAACGTTCTGGCGCAAAGATTGGGAATCTTCAGGTAGGCTTCTAGTATAAAATTTTACCAAGACAAAAAAATACCAATATTTCTTCATTAGGTAAAGAAGATAAAGCAGTTCAATCACGCGACCCAATTCAACAATAGCCATAATATAATGTTTGGAGGACATCAAGAAATAATAAATATCGAAGGAACTTCAACTCAGGAAGGAGAACCTTCTTCGGCTGGGATGAGACTTAGGGAAAAAAATAAAGTCTGTTATATCGAAAGCCCAACAGTGACGGATTCCTCTGGTTCGGAATACCAAGATAAACCTAAGAAGGCAACTTATACAGGTATATTTTAACAGTATGTTATTAGATCGCAAAAACATCTTTTTTTATCTTTGGACTATGTAGATCAAAACGAGTAAAGAAACGAAAATAAGAAGTTCTAGCTCTCCAGCCGGAAGTTTAAGTAGTTCCCAGTCAAGTATTCCACGACAAACACCGGATTTGTACAGACAGTGATGACATAGTCGAGCAGATGCAGATGTTAGAGGAGGATTTTAAAAAGTTCACAAAGGCATTCCAAAAACTTGAAAATACAAAAAAATGTGTATTAACATCTGGGAAGGTTGTTGAAGATGAGTTATACAAGTTTGGCATGAGATGCAATTATGAACAGTAAGTACTGGCTGTTTTAAAATCAGATTATTATTGATCCTAAGTCATTAACATGTCAAAAGTCTCTGTCATTCTTTTATAATTGATCCGGAAGACAGAAGCTTTGTTGAAGAAAATATTTTCTCCCCTTCTGAACTCAAAGAAATTTATACATACAATCAAAAATCATTTCCGAATTTGCCCAAGATCTGTTAGAATATCTTGGTAGTTATCAATTGGCACGTATTTTTCATATCATTATGCTTCGATCATTATTCACAAATGATGTTTTGACAAATACTTCATTTGAATAGTCCACAATTTCTGACCTCAGAGCACGGGTTTTTAGGTAAGAACCATGGCAATCAGCTTACAACCGACAAAGGGATTTTGACAGGGATTGGATAAGGAACACCGTTGACAATTTGTAGGTGCAAGGTTCTCTTATCTAATCTAAAAGAACACATTAAATGTTAATCATACCACCTATTTCATATAGTATTCGTGAATATGAAGCAGACAGCCTAAAAAAAGGAGATTATTTAGAAGGATGTTACTGTCACATGTATGGTTGTTCATAGACAAGGCGTTTGAGAACATAGAAGGTATCGAAGCAATTAGGTAAGACAGGTGATTATATCCCTTCACAGAATTAATCATTAACACTCTGGATCATTTTGTGAACAGGGGAGAATCTTGTAGCATTCTCGAAAAAATAGAGATCGAAATGTTCCATCTGTGAGCTCGATGCCAAGGAAGATCATGGGCAGGAAGGGAGATTTGATAATTCGTTGCATGTATAGGGAATATGGATGCGGAGAAGCGGGCAAATTATACACAGGCTATAATGGTACAAAAATTCTACGAGAGAGAGGATTGAAAACGCCAAAGATGATGAACGATCAATTCGATGACTTATGCATTCACATGGGATCGAAAGAAAAAAAAGTCAGAAAGCTTGAGACTATCGGATTCATTCATGCAGGTATGATACATACATATTTTTTATTTACCAGATTCTCAACTAATTTTTCCGAATTCCCTAGAACTTTCTGTACTATTGCTCAGAATAGATTCTCCGGCAGGATATGTTAGTAGAATCTCTCGTTCTAAAATGCTGACAATCCCATCAAATATCAGTGAGTTTTGCAAAGGAGGAGTTCTTCCAGCCATTATACTTGCGTGGAAGGCAAAGGTTTGTGTCTTATAGGAAATATAATTAATTGATTGTTGGAATATGTTGAATATGTTTATTAATGTCTAAAAATTTCTTACGAATAGAAAATCTTTAGCAATGTCATTGAGATGATGAATAAAAATGACGAGGAAAATCCACTCCAGGCCCTCCAACAATCATGCGAGGACACATCAATTCTTTCTCCTCCACGGCATGTAATTTGTCGCACAACCAGTTTTGATACTCCAAGTAGTAAGGATAAAAAAGGTACTTCAAGCAATAAGAATACTCCAATCAAGGCAAAAAGAAGCTAAAATCTAGGATATTGTAAGATTATATAGTTTCTAGTTGAATGTATTAGTTTAGTATGTAAAGTTTCTCCGTCATTTTTAACCATGTGAATGAATTTATATTAGTATGTATGGGTAAACATTTAATAAAACTTTTTCGCATCACCTATTTCAAGGTTAAATATAGAATGATGTTGCTAAAATTTTGAAAGTTATCAGTGAGAAAGTCTACTGCGGCAAATTTTTCTCATATTCACAGTTACCAATACTCTCAATCATAGACTTCTGGAGACGATTAACCAGATTTTCTTCATGTGCTTTTTATCTCTGGCTTCGAGCATTTATGCGAGGTGGTTAATAAAGTTTTGTCCAATAGGGCTTGTTTTTTTTAATTCGTGTCTGGCGAATGCCAATGTATCATATCTAGTAGGGATGTAATAAACGTATTTCAGAATATGATCTATACGCACAAAAAAATAAATTGTACAAATGCAATTAAAGTTTTAAGTTTACTCAATAAGACCCAATTCTCGAAGATTCTCTGGAATAACTATATATGGGTCTTCATGGTACCAAACATACCTTAAAACGATCCAGTCCTCTTCGCACAATTCTTTCTTGAGTTGATCCCGTGCTTGCTGTCGGGCAAAATTGTTAGGATCTCCTCCATGGAAGAATTCAATATATTATTCATGTTGTTGTCCTTGTACTTCGATTGCAAAACCATATGGAATATCAAGTTGTAATCCAGTTGGATGTTCTGGTATTTTTAAAAAATCTGGTCTACGATTTTCAGATGGTGGTCCAAGATATTTTGATACAATTTCACGGCACAATTCTTCACGTTTATATTTCGAACAGTATGGACACCATGATCCACTATTTTTAATTTGAGAAAATGGAGCAAATCATTCGTGATTTTTAGAACAACGCCAACGTAATGGAATTGCACAATTGATATATTTTTCGGAAAGACATTTACCATTTTTATTATATGCAAACTGCCTGACATATTCTAGAGTGTAAGGTTTTCTATGAGAACATTCTGGACACCATGATCTACTATTTTTGATTTTACCAAATGAAGCAAACCATTCATGACCTTTAGCACAACGTCATTGCAATTTTGTGCTATTATTAATATATTTATTAGAAATGCAATCTCCATTTCGGCTTAGAGCTATTTGTATAGCATCTTCAATTGTACAACGTGCATTTCCTGCACAATATGGGCACCAATGTCCATTTTTAATATGAATAAGATTAGCTGTCCATTCATGGTTTTCGGCACGTCTCCACTGTAATGGTATTACGGAATTAATAAAACTTTTGGAAAGACACTGTCCACCTTGATTTTTGGCAATTCTATGTGCATCATTTATAGAATATTTAGTTAATGGCCTACCCACATAATATGGACACCACGTCCCTAAATATTTAATGTTCTTAAATGGAGTACTCCAAATATGGTCTTGATGACATTTCCATAACATTGGAATCTTACTGTTAACGTATTCTGTTGAAAGACATTGACCATGTTTGAATACTGCGATTTGTATTGCATTTTCAAGAGTAAGCTTTACATGCCCTGCACAATGTGGGCACCACTATTTATCATATTTAACTTTTTTTAGTAAAGATGAATTTTAGAACAACCCATATTAATGAAGTTTTGGCATTTTTATATTCAGTTGAAAGACATTTTCCATTATGGAATTCAGCAATAGCATGAGCAACATCATATAGGGATAATTTTTTCATCAAAACTAGATTCCTTTAACTTTTATCTTGAAATTTTTATATTTAATATATGTATAAACCTGATGGTCTGCGCTTCAGAATTAACATTACATTATCAATTATTATAGACAATTCGAAAAGAAATGTGACAAGTTAATAAGGTATAATATACATATCTACTTGTTATATAACTTATTCGTATATACTGTACATATATATATATTTAAAATAAACCATCTAAAGTATTTCTGAGAGCTAGTACTTTCGATTTTTATTTATTATTGTTTCATAATGATTAATGGCTATTTTTTCTTGATTTTTCTATATTAACCTGTTTTATGGAACGCAAAAATCCTTAGATCAGGCTTTGTATTATTATTTAAAGAAATGGATCTTTGAGCCTACACATCCACTTTAATTTCAACACACAGGCTGGATACGTGCAGATAAACATATAATTCAGTGGAAAATATGATGTATTATATTAATGTATCAATAAATAACTGAAAAAATAATTATTTGATTGTCAAACCTTGATTTATTCGCTTAATGTCAAAATTTATTATCCCAGCATATATGAATCACGGAACCCAATCTAATATTATGTTTACTGTCATTTTTTTTTTTACTTAATAGAAAGTAGATAGATTCTGAAATCTTGCTCTGGTTAGGCAGAATGTTTATTATCTTTCAATCCCTCGATTTCCTTTTCTAGATCAAGATGAGTATCCCATCGAAGTGAAAAAGATTCAGATCTGGGTTTATTCACGCTAATAACTATAAATTCCTTTTGCCTCAGGTAGCCATCGATGATTTTTGCAGCTTTGCGTGGGTCTACATCAGTATACGGAGCTATAATATCTGCAAGCTTTCGAAGTGAACCCCACCATTACAGAGTATAATATGGGTAGCATTTTCACGAAAATCTATAGGGATTTTATGAAATTTTTGAGCGGTGTAAATTGTAGAGATATTTTGATGTCTACTCTACTAAAAAATGGAATGATTTTTTTCTGTATATTTGGAGGGGATCAGAATAAAGATCCTCAAATATCATTAATGTACTTCTTTTAGCATCAAATTTTTTCGGATCTGGGATTTTATCATGTGTAAGTGTAGAAAATGTAACATCTTCGTAATATGGATTTGATTTACTGTATCTTGTGCAAGAACTTTTAACTATTTTATATTTTGGTTCATTTAAATTGTGGCCTACAAGAACTACATCGTAACATTTAACATTGCGTCCTCTTATTTTGTTGGAAGCAGTCCCTTTGTAGCTAGATCCCCTTTTCTTTTTGAACATATAATAAATTTTGGGCATTGTTAACAGGTTTAAACCAATATTGGTCTTACCTGAGTTACTAGCCCCTGCAATTACAATGCGAAAATCCCATGCAGGTGAATCTTTATCTCCTTGATATTTTTTCGAGAATTTCACCTCATCTATATTAAAAATAACATACTTCATTCTTTGTGAGGTAAATAACCCTTCTCTTGTAATTTGTTTTTTATATAAGGGAATAAATCTGAATCATATAAAATTTCAATGAGATCTATACCTTGTTCCTTGCATATATCCCGCTTTTTTTGGTCACGCTTTCTTTGTGCATCCAGGTCTGACACACCATTGGGATGAAAGTGTTTTGGAACTACACGAAAATGTTGGGTGACATGAAATTCAAATGCTAATTTTAGCTCCTCACTATATCCGTCTAATTGTATTCCAATCAAAAATGATGGTCTACATGATGGAAATTTCTTGCCTAGAAGATCTTCGAAAATATATCTACATCTACGCTTATTTGTATGATGAAAACAAAGTGGACACCATTCGAAATTACGCTTCTGGATCTTATAAGGTGCATACCACTGATGCTTTCCGTTTTCACGAGATCAGAGATATATATCGAACCCATTTATATGGCCGGTTTTACCAATACAATGTCCACCTCGCTTCTTGCATATTCTTCTTCAGCCTTAGTTATTTTATTAAAAATACGGATGAAATTAATTGATCTGGAATGAATGTTTTCTTCCAATATATTTTGAGGTGGGTATTGCAAAGTATCAAGATCCACATACATAAGCTCCTCTCTTACAAACCCTCACTTTGGAACATATTCATCACCGTCATCTCCGAGGTAATATAAAACTGGTTCGTTCTTGTTACTACGATTTTGCAGATTTTATGTAATGAAGGTGAAAATGTTGGGTCCGTGGCCCTTTTCTGATTTTCCATACCACCTTCCCATTCTGCATTAGCAAGTAGATAACGAACGGAGTCTCCTTTCTTTAACCTATTCTCCTCATATTTTCCAACAGGGCGCTTATACTTTATAGATGGCTTAGATTCTACTCATTCTAACCGAATGGCCAACTTGGGAGCTAAACCGCATTTTAATGAACCTGGAGCTTTAATGAGACGCATTGAATAATTATTAAGATAATTTATTACTTCTGGCAAATATTTGACCCATGCTCTTATCGATCTAGGGTTCGAGGTTACACTTTCGACAGCATATTGGATCTTGTAAAGCCTCTGCTAAAGTTTTATTAAACCTTTCAATGAGAGCAAGCCCCCGATGTGAATATATACCAATTGCTCGAATTATGACATTATGTGCTTCCATTAATCGAGCAGTTTCGCCCATGAATTTTGTACTACCATCCACTTATAGAAGTGTCAAGTACGTAAGAGGGTTATTGGGATTATCGTAAATTTTTTTAAATACTTTAGCAACTTCTGAGCTATTTTTAGAAGTAAGCAGAATACTATATTTAAATCATGAAGAAACGTCTATTATATCAAGTACCCATTTATACAGTATGTCTTTTTATTAATGGTGTCATTTGTAAGTCGTAACAAGTAACATTGATGTACACAATTCAGACATGAAATTTTGCCATAACTAATACGTGAAACATATTTTGGGGATGGAGCAAATTTCTGCCATTCATTCTGATTATGTAACCAATTATGAACTTTTTTGAGCAGAAATCGATACCCTTCCTTCTTGAGATCTTTATATAATTTCTGAGCATTAGAATGGTATCTGGTGGATTGATAAAAAAGTAATCAGCAACTAAAGCTATTTTCACATCAGGATTGATTCTAATAACAACTCTGTTCAGTTTACTCATCTTCAATGCATTCTACTATAATAATCAATTATGTTTTGAGTCAGGAGTTAGTCAAATATATTATGCCGTAAAAAATAACCATGGCATTTCATACACCCCGGCCCCCAATCTAACAATTTACAGATCAGCTACAGATAAAGAACTTGAGCTAGAACAAATTAACCAAGAACTCCAGGAGATATTGCAATCGGAGGTAGCCATCAACAAATCGAATGAGAAATATATAAAGGACCTGGAATGTAAGTTTATCAGGTGTGAGAAAGAAATCCAATCTCTCAATAAAGAACTGGAATAACTCGAGAATGCTTCGGAGGAAGAAAAGACAGAATTGAGATTGGAGATATCGTCTCTTAAAAGAAACTTATACCAAGCTAAAAAGGAAATCCGAGATAAAGTATCCTATATCGATAATATAGAGAAGCGCTTACAAGAGTCAGAAGAGCGGGTTCAAAATCTGAGGTATAGATTTAAAGTTATTTCCTTCAGAAGAAGCTCTCCAAATTTATATAATCAAGAAGAATACATATATGGGCAATTATTCTTGAAGGCGATCAAAATACTAAATATGATTTTTTCTGCCCTCACTTTTTAATAATACGTATATAATGCAAATTTTAGGATCACAATTACATGATCCGAAAAATCCCTGTCCGCCTTCGAAAATAATTACCCATATATGCAAATCTTGACCTTTTTATACAAATTGATTAAGGGTTGATTCGTCTTGAAAATCACTTTAGAGGAGCTGGAACTCCATTAAACAATCCTATCAATATTGTAGAAGGAATTCGTGGTTCTCTAAATAATATTCGAGTTAATTATTAAAGATTAGATTAAGATGTAGATAATATTGCAAATCAACGTGATGATAGAGATAATTAAATAGTCCAGTTACAACAGAATGTTAATGGTTATAGGCAACAGAATATCAATTTGCAGAATTAAGTTAACCAGCTTACCCAAAATAATTTTCAAGACCAAGTCAATCAGATTATCCAAGAACGAGATAACTTGCAGAACCAAGTTAATCAAATTATTCAAGAGTGACATAACTTATGAAATCAAGTTAACTAACTTACTCGAAAGCATGACAATTATCAAAATAATCTTACTTTGATGACAACAGCTTATAATAATGAATAAGGAGAGTGTCATCACTGGTGATTCTTATACTGTGATAAAAATAGGTGTGTTGGTAAATTAATTCAAGAAAAGTTCTCATTGCAATAATAGGAATTTATAGCAAAGATATGATATATAGAGTATTTGTGGGATAATATTACCTTGGCATAGAAGAACAATCTAAACTCAGGCATATTTTTGAAATTATTTGTAAGATATCTATTTATTAGCTAAAGTGGGAGTTGCAACAATACAATAATGATAAGGTCTTCTTATAATTTTGATAAGATCATGTTGTTCCGAGGTATAAGAAATGGAAAAATAAAACCCATGATGCTTGGCAATTAATTTTGAATTTACAAGCCCAAAATTTATTACTACAGAATAATCTGCCTATAAATTCAAACATTGTCAATGCTAGATGTTTACCAGTATTAAAATTAATACAACCCGTCCTTACAAGTTTCCCACCTTATATTGGTCAAGAATCTCCTAATGATTATTTTGATAAGATTATACAATCATGGGTATTTGCTAAGGGGCATATGATGGTTCTTGAAAATGCAAATGTGGGAGATTTTGATAATGCAGTCAAATGTACTATCTTAAAATCTAAAATGGCTGAAAAATACATTCCGATACTAGCTAATGATCCCTATATTAATACAAATCCTTCTATAAAGCCTCCAGCAACTTTGAGGACATGGGCAAGAACAAAATATCAACAAAAAACAGTTGGGACCAAATAATTGGCAATTCAATGATTAACTCAAGAAAGATTTCACCTTTTGATACTCTGGATACCTATAAAACTAGAATTTAACTTCTTTTGTTAGGAGTAGCCAATGGTAATGCTCAAGTCTTGAGATTTCTTAAATGTCAATTACCAGGTGAGCTTTTCATTTGGATGAGGTCTGACGCTCCAGCAGGTATTGACAAATTTTTTATTGTATTAAAAAATATGTGATTAAAATGTACTCCAAACCTATATGGAGGATTAAATTTTGATCATGTCTCAACTATTAGGTCAGAGGCTAGCTTTTCAACTAATATATTACCTACAATTTCTCAGCCAGAAATCAGCTTATGCCAATTACAAAATAAATCTATGATATAGATACAATCTCAATAGAAATGATCTAATTCTGATGATTATCCTAGAGTACCAGATAAATATATACCAGAAAGATCTTCAGATGGGTATGACGTAAATTCTGAAAGATTTATTCATGATGATATTATAAATCCAATTCCTTCAACCAGTCAAATTATAGAATCTCGAGCCAATAATCTTTATAAAAAATTATCTGATATGTTTTTGGCAAAACTGGTACAATTGAAAAATAAAGATATCAGTACTGATGATATAAATGAAATTACTAAGGGTACTGTATGTTAAAATTATTATTAAATTTAGTAAAAATGACAAAAGAGATTAATGTCATTAAGAAATTATCTCAATATCATTGTTCAAATTGCAATAGGACTGGATATAATTCTCACAAGTATACTTATAAGAAAAGGTCCAAGAGCAGATCCAAAAAGAGAGGCAGTGTTAATAAGATTGCTGTAGATTCGGATTCAAATACAAACTCTTCTGATAATGATTCTTCAGATAATAACAACAATTCTGGGGATTCCTCGTCTGAGGTTGAATCCGATCATAGTTATGATGTACATATTTCTAATACAAAAAAAAACAAGTAAAGCAGAAAGATAAATAGGATAAATCATTATCTAAAAAGTGGTCTAGTCCAAAGAAGAGACAGAGTCTCAAATCTCCGATTCAATATACTTCACAAAAATCACAAACGAAATCAGGTATAATTATTTATGCACAAATCTGAAAAATTATTCTAGCTATGTTTAATGATCCAGAGGTTATATAAATAATTAAAAACAATATTAATACTGTAATTCGAATTTATCTATTGCAAAACCTGACTTTACTGCAAAGCAGGGCATTTCGTGCTTAAATTATCAAGAGCCAGCTCCAGAAATATCTGATTCGGATAGGAAGAATGAAATACTAGACGATCCTATAGAAATAGATTTCATACATAAAAAAGAACTTGCCACAAGCCTTGCAACTATACTATATAAAATCAAATGCTTAAAAATTTCAACATTGATATTCAATAGTGGAGCTGAACCTCTAATTACATCAGAAGATATTGTTA